AAAACAGCACACTGTACCCCATGATTGCATTAATGTACACAGTTATGCTATAAGAAATAAAAAAAATGTGTATCATTGATAAGTTGTCACTCTATTTTTCCACTGTCCATGTCCTGTGTTAACTGTAATTGCTTATGCCTATGGCTGCCTCTCAGCTAGAAGTGAAGTCCTTGAAGGTATGGATCCTGTCTTCGTGATTTTTGTGTCCTTTATAACACCATCTTCATGTGCTCTATATAATAGAGTCTCAACCTGTGGTTGAATTGTACTGGATCCTGGTGAAATAGAATAAAAGGGTTAAAAGGGAAAAAAAAATATTCTTCCCTTTGTAGGTTATGGTTTTCTTATGTCTAGCTTGCTTTCAGAATTTTCTCTTTCATATTAACTTCAGCGAAGTTAATTATGATGTGCCTGGGGGATGTCTTGTTTGGGTTGAGTCATGCTAGAGTCTAAAACTCTCTGAATTTCAGAATCTCTTGGCATGTCTGGAAAGTTCTCTTTCATCATTTCATGAAGTAGGGCCTCTGTGCTTTGTGAAGCCACTTCATCACCTTCAGGAATTCCTATAAGACGAATATTAGTTTTCTTCTAATTATCCCAGAGCTCTCTGAGAGAGTGATCCATTTTTGTTCTCCATTTCTCTTCATCCTTGCACGCTTGGGCATGTTCAGAAGCTTTGTCTTCAATGTTGAAGATCCTTTCTTCTGCCTGCTCCATTCTGTTACCAAGGGATTCTACCGTATTTTTCAGATCTTTGAGGGCTGCGACCTCTTGCCTCAGTGTTTTTAAATCTTTGGTCATTTTATCTTTGAAATCATTGAATTCTTGAGGCATCTTTTGAATAATTTCTTGAGACATATTTTGAATAATTTCTTGAAATTCTGATTCCCTCCTTTCTTCCATTCTGTTAATCTTCTTTGCTATCCAAATTCTGAACTCGATTTCTGACATCTCAGCCATCTGTTTATGGATGGGATCTTTAATTGCATCTGCCCCATCCTTCCTTGGGGGAATTGATCTACTCTGGTTATTCAAATTACTAGAGTTTTTTCTCTGATTCCTCCCCATGCTGAATTTATACTGTGTGGAGACCATACCAGAACCATTCAGTCAGTGGCTGCCACCGGAGAAGATGCTGGCTTCCTCTGATTGCCCAGAGAGGTAGAGTGTGTCTGTCTGGACGAGCCTCAGGGGTGTGAGCCTTATGCAGTGCCACTCTTCACCTCGGGATACTGCCATTCTAGTATGGTTCCCTCTCAACTGACCGTCCTCTTGTAGTTCTTGGGAGGCTGGCTGGGGATACCAGGAGCATACAGCTCTGGCAGTTCTGGGCCTGCCCGGAGTGGGTGCCTGGGGCAGGGAACTCCGCCACCGCCTGCGGGACTCACGCAGCTCTATGAAGCAGTTCTGGGCCCGCTCAGAGCTGAAGACTCCTCTGCTGCTGCCTGCGGGTCAAGCATGACTTTATCAAGTAGTTCTGGGCCCACTTGGAGCGGGGGACTCCTTAGCTGGCCCTGGTGGGGTGCATGTGGCTCTAGCAAGCAGTTCTGCTCCCACCTGGAGCAGAGAACTCCTCCATCACCACCCACCGCCCGTGGAAGGCACGCAGCTCTAGGAAGCAGTTCTGGGCCTGCCTGGCACAGGTGCCTGGAGTGGGGAACTCCACTGCTGCTGCCCGCGGGATGTGCGGCTCTAGCAAGCAGTTCTGGGCCTGCCTGGAACAGGGGACTCCTCTGCCGCCCCCCATGGGGCATGCAGCTCTAGCAAGCAGTTCTGGGCCCGCCCAAAGCAGAGAACTCCTCAGCTGCCACCCTCCTCCTGTGAGAGGCATGCGACTCTAGGAAGCAGTTCTGGGGCCTTCTACCCGGGTGCCTAGAATGGGGAACTCCCCCACCACTGCCAGCAGAATGCACACGGGTCTAGCAGGTCTCCGGCAGCAGTACCAGGACTGGGCACTTGGTCTTGCAGGGGTAGGGGATGCTGCTTTTATGCCCCCCCTCACTGTCTCTGTAGGCAAGGGGGGAAAGGTGGACTGGAAATTCAAAATGGCAGTGAAAACGTTTGTTCAGTTTTTCTGCCAGGCAAGAGTGTTTAGAATTGCAGCAGGGTCCCTCTAGGGGAGTAGACCCCCCCCTTCCTGTGGTTCTCACATGTGGGGTGAGATAATAGGTCCTTAGTTCACCACTTGCCTGTAGAAAACTTACAGGAGCAGACAAAGAGAAAATAGAGAAAACCACAACTTTCTTGGGGGAGGAGATGGACACTTTTCCTTTGGGATGTATTATGTACTTGTAAATTGCTTTCTTGGAGTCTCAACTTGCCTCAGCAGAGATGTCCTGCAGATACCACTCTTCTCTCTCAGCTGGGCTCATAGTCTTCAACTTTATTGGGTATTTGCCAGACATTATCCTTCCCTCTGGAGGGAGCTTCTGTTGGAGGCTGGCGCCTGACGGCCATCTTGCCCCTCCCCACCAGTGCTTTGTATTTCTATATGAATCATAAAATTAGTTTCTTAATTTCAAAAAAAATTACACGTGGGATTATCATTAGGGATTGTAATCAATACATAGTTCAATTTTGGAGAATTGCTATTTTAACAAAATTGATTCTTCCAACCTATAAATAAGGTCTTTCTCCATTCATTTAGGTCTTCTTTAATTTCTCTCAACATTATTTTTTGGTTTTCAGTATATGAATCTTAAAATTTTGTCAGATTTATCTCTAAGTAATTTCATATTTTTGATGCTATTGTAAATGGTATTTTAAGTTTCAATTTTAGATTGTTGTCAATACATAAGGAATACAATCAGTTTTTGTACATTGAACTTGTATCCTGCAACCTTGCTAATCTCATTTAATAATTTCAGAAAGTTTTTTCGTAGATTCCATCAGATTTCCAGTATAACATATCATCTGGAAATAAAGGCAGCTTTATGTTTTTCTTTACACAGATGAAGCAGGTCCACCATCCTGTCCATTCTTCATTCACACCTTTTTAAACAACATCTTCCCCAAAATAAATAAATAAATAGGTAATGCCCCCTCCCCCCATCTAAAACTCCTGGCAGTTACTGATCTGTTCCCTATTACTCATTTTGTATTTTTGAGAATGCTATATAAATAGAATCATACTGCATACAAATTTTGAAAATAGTTTCTTTCAATCATCTTGTCTCTGAAATTCATCCGTGTTGTTGTGTATATCAGTAGTGTTTTTTCCTTTTTAATTACTGAGCTGTGTTCCATCATATGGATATGCCACAGTTTATCCATTCACCTGTTGGAGGACATTTGGATTATTTCCCATTATTGACAATTACAAATAGAACTGCTATAAACATTTTTTATGTAGGCTTTTGTGTGAATGTGTTTTCATACTCCTGGGGTATCTACAAAGGAGTGGGATTTCTGGGTCATATAGTAAATATATAGTAGCATTATAAGATGCTGTCAAATCCTTGTCCAGAGTGGTGGTTCTGTTTTACATTCCCACCAGCAATGTGAGCTCTGCACCTTCACCAGTGAATGGTATTGGCAGTGTTTTTGGTTTTGTTTTGTTTTGTTTTTTAGATAGAATCTCACTATGTCATCCTGGGTAGAGCTGTGCCATCACAGCTCACAGCAGCCTCCAACTCTTGGGCTCAAGTGATTCTCCTGCCTCAGCCACCCAAGTAGCAGGGGACTACAGGCACCCACCACAGCATCCGACTAGTTTTTGGTTATAATTGTTATTGTTGTTTGGCAGCCCCGGGTTGGGTTCGAACCCGCCAGCTCCAGTGTATGTGGCCACTGAGCTACAGGTGCCGAGCCATCAGTGTTTTTTTATTCCAGCCATTCTAATAATTATGTAGTAGTGATCCATGGATTGTTAAGAAGTGTGTGAGTTTTCTTATATTTTGAGGTTTTGCATATGTCAAAACATCTTTCTGTTGTTGATTTCTAAATAAGTATGCTGGCAGATAATGTATTTGTTATAGTAATACTTCTTTAAAATTTATTAAGAGTTGGTTTATCAGATAGAAAAATTAGCTGGGTGCTAATGAGTGTGCTAGTGGTGTGTACTTCTAGTCTCAGTACTCAGGAGGCTGAGGCAGGAGGATCACTTGAACCCAGGAATTTGAAGTTCCTGTGAGTTAGCCTCATGCCATGGCTCTGGGAGACAGAGACTCCCTGTCCAAAAAAAAGAGGAAGGATTGGTTTATGGCCTACTATATGATTTGTCTTAGTGAATGTTTCAAAAGAAACATTAAAAAGAATTTGTAATCTCATTTGGGGTGGTGTGCTTTTTGACTGTCAGTTGGATCAAATTAGTTAATAATATTGTTCATGTTTTCTGTATTTTTGCAAATTTTTCTGATTACCTGTTTTATAAACTACTGAGAAGATAATATTGAAATCTCTGACTGTTATTGTGGATTTTCCTATTTCTCATTGAAATTTTTGATTTGTACTTTTTATCTATTTTGAAGCTCTGTTATTAAGCACATAAACATTTAGGACTATTATGCCCTTTTGATGAATTGACCCCTGTATCATGATGAAATGAATCCTCTTATCCCAGGTAACATTCTTTACACTGAAAGGTATTGTATCTGGAAATAACATAGCCACTCCAGCTTTTTTTTGACTAGTGTTAGCATGGTATACCTATTTTTACTCCTTTACTTTTGACCTATATGTGTCTTTATATTTAAGTGGGGGTGTTGCACAAACCTTTCTTAATCTAATCTGACAATTTCCGCCTTTTATTGGAGTATATACATTTGATGTGATTATTGATAAGGTTAGGTTTTGCTATTTAGTTTGTCCCATCATTTTTTGTTCTCTTTTTCCTCTTGTTTGCCTTTTTAATTTTTTTTTTTTTTTTGAGACAAAGTCTCGTTCTGTTCTTCCAAGCTAGAGTGCCATGGCATCCACCTAACTCACAGCAACTTCAAACTCCTAAGCTAAAGCAATCCTGCCTCAGCCTCCCAGGTAGGTGTGACTACAGGCACAACACCCAGCTAATTTTTCTATTTTTAGTAGAGATGGGATCTCACTCTTGCTCAGGCTGCTCTCCAACTCCTGAGCTCAAGCAATCTTTACACCTTAGCCTCCCGGAGTGCTGGGATTACAGGCATGAGCCACTGCGCCCCTAAGTTGTTGACTTTTAAATTAAATCCTTTTAGGATTCCATTTTATCTCCTTCAGTGGCTTATTAGCTGTAACTCTTTATTACTTAAGGGGTTGATTTAAAGTTTATAGTATACTTCTATTTCTCCCCTCCTAGCCCTTATACGTATTGTTAACATACATTTTCTTCTACATGTGTTATTATCCTCATACTATTTTTTAAAAACATTTTAAACTACTACATTTTAAAGAGAGTTAAATAACAAAACTTTTATGTTTGTCTACATCATCCAGTGCTCCCATACCTATAGATTCATATTTCCATATCATATTATTTTCTTTTTACCTGAAAGCTTTTCTTTCGCTTATTATGATGCTGGTCTGCTTGTGGTGAATTCTTCCTTTGTTTGTATATCCAAATAAGTTTTATTTTACCAGGGGATAATTGGATGAAGCTGTCTGAGAAGGGCATGGAGAGCTGGAATTTGGATCTATGAGTTTAGGAAGCAGTACACTAGACTTCCAAGTGGAGATATTCAACAGGCAGTCGAATATATGAGTCTAGGGCTCAGGATAGACAAATTTGAGAATCAAAGGCAGACAAATCTTGAGATTGGATGTGCTTCTGAGAGTGTATAAATAAGGGAAAACTCCAAGGACTCAGCTAGAGCATTCCAACATTGAGAATGGAAGATTAAGAAGGAGCCTGCAAGAACTAACTTACAGATTTAGCAACACAAAGGAATTCATAGACTTTTCCAGCTAAGTCCTCAATTTGTGTTTTTGAAAGGCTGAAAGACAGACTGAAGTGGTGAAATAATTTAAAACATCCAAGACTAAGGCATACATAATAAAACAGCTTTTACTACTTGTATAGAAACAGGACATGTACTTGTAGACAACATTAGAATATCAGAATTTGAAGCAGTTAAGGATGTCTCTCTCAAGTTGACAGCTATTGTTAACCCTCCTCCACTAGAGTATACAAATACTAAGAAAAATGGGCGATTGACAAATCAACTGCAGTATCTACAAAAGGTAGTCCTAAAGGCTTTATGGAAGCATAGTTTCTCTTGGCCTTTTCAAAGTCCTGTGGTTGCCATGAAACTAAAGTTGCCTGATTATTATACCATTATAAAAAACCCAATGGATTTAAATATAATTAAGAAGCACTTGGAGAATAAATATTATGTAAAGGCTTCAGAATGTATTGAAGACTTTAATACAATGTTCTCAAATTGCTATTTTTACGACAAGGCACTCCACAAAATGAAGCAGTTTCTTCTGTTAAAGAAAAACCATCCTCCAAAGCAACAGAGATGGTATTGAAGCAGCAAGCGACTTCTGTGTTTCCTGAGGCATCTGTTTCTCCTTTAGACACGGCACAAGGAGCTCCACTCAACTGTAGCTCACAAACTGTAGCCCAAGTTACAAAGGGTGTGAAGAGGAAAGCAGATAGGACAACTCCTACAATGTCAGTAGTTAAAGCAAATAGGGAATTTTCTCCAACACTCACAGAAAAACAATCAGCAAGAATGCCTCCAATAAAAGAAAATGTGCAGAAGATTTTTTTTTTGCAGTTTTTGGCCAGGGCTGGGTTTGAACCCACCACCTATGGCTTATGAGGCTGGCGCTCTACTCCTTTGAGCCACAGGCACTGCCCCAGAAGAATGTTTTGCCTGATTCTCAGCAACACTATAATGTTGGAAAGAGTATTAAAGTAACTGAACAATTAAGGCACTGTAGTGAGAATCTTAAAGAAATGCTTGCAAAGAAACACTTTTCATATGCATGGCCCTTTTATAATCCTGTTGATGTTAATGCTTTGGGACTCCATAACTCTGACATTGTCATACATCTGACGGATCTTGGAACTATTAAGGTAAATTTTGCCTTAATAAAGGAAATTCTCTTGAAGTTTTGAATTTTGACTAAAGTATATTACTTAAACATTAATTTTTAATTCAACTTATTAATATGTTGTTTAGGATATTGCATCCTCATTTATAAATGAAATATGTTTGTAATTTCCCCTTTATAATGATATATTTTTTCCGATTTTAATATCAGGTGTATCCAGATGAAGTAGAATGATTTTGAAGTATTTCTTCTTTTTCTATTGTCTATAAGATTTAGTATGATCTGTTTTTTGAAATTATCTTTTATTTTTATTTATAAATATTAGTTGTCTATTTTTTGAGACTTTGGGAAAAAAATAAGAAGTTAACTGATGACTCCATACTGAACCTCAGAGTCAAAGCATTCTTTTTTTTTTTTTTTTGTGACATTGGGTTATTTATTTTGTCCATCTGTGGCAATAAATGAGATCTCACTGGTGGTATGGATTTGACTGATCTCTGCAACTGTGTATGGGAAGAGGACTGGAAAATAACCGCCAGATCCCAGTAAGGGTTGGAGAGGGGTGAGAGAGCTGAACATCTGGGCTGGCTGAGACATCAAACCTTAGGAGGGAAGGGGTAAGAGTGCAGTATAGGGGATACCCCATCCCTTTGCTCTCTCCCTTTTCCTTTCTCACTTAGGGACCCAGGTCCCTGGGACTACACTGGATCTGTCTTTGAAGCTGAGAGATCAAATCTGAGGAGATAGTTGGCTCTAACTGAACAGTCTCAAGCCAGTTTTGTCATAAATCCTAGGAACATGAGAGGGATGTGAGGAGAAGATATGACTATCTCTTCATTCTGTTTTCTATTTGGTGATAATGACAAAGACCTCTGTTTCCTAACTCCTCTTGAAGGCATGAGGTGGGTAGGCAGGACGGTAAGAACTGGTAATCCTGGGTCTTCCATAAAATCTCCTATCCCATAGGCAAGGACTAAGAATTAGGATTATATAAATACTTTAGTGGAAGAGCTCTAAACCAGGATTAACAAGCATAGCTGGGGTGAGGTTGCCTGGAATCTGAATGGGACCCTGGCAGTGAAAGCTGGGACTATTGAAAACCCAAATTAAGTGTCTTCTACTCATGTTGAGAGGTGCAGGGGCCAAGATAACTAGATCCCAGGACAGGCAGTTTGGCAGTGAGAACAAAAAGAAGAGACTGGGACCAAGATGCCTGGATCCCTGGAGAGAGGAAGGTGGGTATTGGGAGGAGAAATGAAGACTAGGGGTACCCAGGAGCCTGGGTTCTGGAATAGCAGCAAGTCAGAATTCCAGGATCCTCTTCTTCCCTCTGTCAGGCAGAGGAGAGGGAAAGAGGGGGCTGAAGACAGGATCAAACCATAGGTTTAGTTCCCAAGTAGCCAAATGGATACATTCAGGGCCAGATAGACACAGGAATAGAGGGGGACAGAGGAATTTAGTGCTGCATTGGCCCTGGAGGGGGCTAAGAAGGATCAGGAGGCTGGGGAGTGGTGGTGGGGGTTGGTCCAAGGGTTGCATGATGCCGTCCTTTGCGGTGGCCTCATACACAGTGTGTATGACTGTAGCAGGAAACCGACGCAGACAGAAGACTCCAGGCACCAGTTGATTAGAGGAAGGGGGTTTATTTGGCTGGGGGTAGTCGGAACACCAGTGTGTTTCCCAAAACTGAGCCCCCCGACTCAATCTCTTGCCTCTCTTTTATCCACTTTTCAGGGCAGGAGTGCACATGAGGGTCATAAAACAGAGAGAGACATGACCTCATCCTCAAGGTCCCGGGCTCAAGTGGGAAGGTCAGATTCACCCACGTCCTTGAGACGGGTCAGACCACCTGCCCTCAAAGGCAACAGAAACCCAAGGAAGTTACTAGGTTACAATCTAGGCCCCATGTTATGTCAAGAAAGAAACATACAGACAAGAGAAGTGCCTGCAGCTTGGCTGAGGCCTACACAGGGTGGCTAGGACAGATTCTTTTAGTTCTGCTTTTACTTTCTTACCTCATTCCCCCCTTTGAGACTCAAAACAACTTGTTATGGAGTCTCACCATCATCCTCATCAACCTGTGCCACAATTCATTGGTGGTGCATGTAATATGCTCCACCTGGGCCTCTTTGAGACACAGCCAAATTCACTAGGTTCCTCACCCTCTGAAGTAATACTGGCAATAAGCATAGGAGGAGAAGGCAAGTACCCAATAACAATAAGACTCCTATTATAAGGGTCTTAAAACCTCTAAAAGCAGAGAACTATCCTCCAAAGATGGATTTTGGATTATATCCATGCCACACCTGTACCAGCACATGAGTCAATTTGGAAATTTCATTAGCTATACTTTCCACTACTAGACCTTAAACATCTATTTTCACACAACAATTGGGCAGATTGAACTTCCTACATACTCCTCTTTCTGCAGCAAGTAAATAATCTAAAGCCAATCTGTTTTGTACAATTTTCTACATTAGCATCCTGAATATTTGCACAATCTAAAGTCCACCTAGCTCTCATGAGTTCAATAAAGACCAGTCCCACGATGACGTAGATCCTCATGCTTCCACCGTACACGGACCACTCAGCTCCCACGGTGTGACAAGCAGGGCTTGCCGTTCTCTGCAACACCAGCTTGAGGGGGTTATCAGGATCCGAGGTAGCTTCCCAAGGTTCAGGAGTCGTTGAGGTGTGGAGCACATGCCGTGGGAACTCAGGATCAGCTGCGTTGTCATGTCCTGCTCGGTCCAGTTCCTCTTAGGCAGGGGCAGGTTCTCCTTTGGTTCCATGGCAGGCTTCACTCTGCTGTAATGGATCCGGGCAGGAATTTCTGCTACTCTCACAGCTGTAGATGTGGTCAGGATAACATAAGGGCCTTTCCACCTAGCCCTCAGGGGAGACACGCTCCAATCTTTGACCCACACTGTAGCTCCTGGAAAGAAAAGGTGGACAAGGGAAAACAAAATAACAGGACACTTTTCATTCATTCATTCCTGACCACTGCCTCTGCCACCTTTCCCAGTGCCTGCAACTGCTTCCTTAATTCTACCTCTCCCGGCTCGGCGCCTGTGGCTCAAGTGGCTAAGACGCCACCCACATACACCTAAGCTGGCAGGTTCAAATCCCTAGCCCGGGCCTGCCAAACAACAATGATGGCTGCAACCAAAAAATGGCC